TGGTGCTTCTAATAAAATCATCCTATTATGTAGATTTTTGAAAAGGACAAAAGATAGTATTTATGAAATTTTATCCCCTTGTAATTGAGCTAGATATTCAGTCAGTGAGCTTCTTAGCCATTCCTGTGTCTTTTTTGGGGGATAAACCTATTCAAACTCTGCATATTTTTATATTGGGTTGTTTGTCTGTAAGTCCCTTATTGGATATATGATTTGCACATATTTTCTCCCTGTCTCTGGCTTGTCTTTGTGCTTTCTTAATGGTGTCTTTTGAAGTGCAAACATTTTTAATTGTGGTAAAGTTAAATTTATCGGGTTTTTTTTCTTCCAAAGTTCCTGATTTTTGATGTTTTCAAATATCTTTGCCTAATCAAATGTTGCTAAGATTTTCTTGTATATTTCTTTCTGAAACTTCCGTTGTTTTAGCCCTTACATTTAGGTCTATGATCCGTTTTGAGTTAAGTTTTGTGTATGATATGAAGTTCAGGTATATGTTCAATTTCTTTTTTCTCTTTTCTTTCTATTTTTTTTTCAAACATATGACTATCCAGTTGTCCCATTTGCTGAAAAGGTTATCCTTTACCTATTGACTTATTTTGGCATCTTTGTAGAAAATTAATTTGGCATAAATGTAAGGGTCTTTTTCTGTACTCTTCAGTTCTATTCCTTATGTCAGTACCATGCTTCACTTAGATCTTTGCAATGCAGGGTTTTTTTGTTTTTTTTTTAATGTAAACGGTTTGTTCAGGAAATGGACTTATGCTGCATTATAGCTCTTTCTTATTTTTTTATACTACTGTACCTTTGCTGTTCTCCCCCTCCATTCCTGTTTGAGTCACTCTGTTAAAAGTATTAGTCTCTGGGTATTTCTCTTTGGGATAACGAAGGAAATCTGAAAGTGGTAGGAGAGAATGCAGATCAATCTAGATGCATTTTCTAGGTTACCATTTACCTTACTTTAAGTCAAAAAAGTACTCTGTTTTTCATAAAAGTGGTAAGCATTTTTATGCACATTACCATTTGAATAAAAAAGATTAAATTTTTTTTCATTACCTCTGTCTTAATTATTACCACTAACTACTGACTGAAGGATTTACACATTTGGTATATTATTTCAAGAATTTTCAAAAAAAAAAAAAGAATTTTCATTAATGGTTACATGAATTAGGTCTTTTATACAGAAAAAGATAAATCTCACAGGTTATTTTACTAAGTGGAAAAATCTATGAATTAAAGTGTCTTGGGTTTTGGGATTATAGTATGGCTTTATGTTTTATGGAAATTGGACATTTTTTGTAATATTAAAATCCTAGCTGCATTTTTATATTTACCTGTGCTGTTTTTGTCTTTTTGTTGGTGTGGTTCTCAATGGACTATTGTGCAGACATTAAAATAATTAGAAACATGAAGACTGCAAATTTATATCTCTTCTTTAGTTATAACTTTGTAAGAATTATGAATGCATAAAGATTAAAAAGAAAAAAATAGTCGTGCTTTATTGTGATGTTCGGAGTCTAGTTGGCCATTTTCTTTTATTTTGTTTTTTAGTAAAGTTAACCTTTTGTTTGGGGAACTACTTTTATTTTTAATGTAAAAAAACATAAATTTAGTGTTGGCGAAATTCAGAGACAATTTTCTGGCATACAGCTAAAAAGCTGACTTCTGCCATTGGACTTGAATCAGATAATGAAATGACGCGATTAGATTTAGAACATGTTTTCTGCAGTTCCATTAGTAGGTCAAGCCATGCCTCCCAGTTCCCGGAGGGCTCAGTTCTCCAGGGTGGCTTATCTGCTTCCTGCTCTTTCTTTGTAATCTTCTCATTTCCACCTGGGTAGACCAGCTTGATGGAACTGACGTGCTTGTTACCTGGCCCCTTTGCTTTCCTTGCAGTCCTTTTGCTGATAATGTCACTTCAGAAAAATGCATCCATGGGGCAACATGGAATACTCTTATTTTCATTTAAAAGAGCAGTAGGTAAGCTTTTGTGTCTTCCTCTAGGATCCTGGAAGTGCACATCATGAGTTGTTTTTTTTTTTTTAACCCAGTCACTCCTTTCAATCTTTTCTTTCTCTT